TAATCAAATGTCAAAATGTCAGTTTCATTCATATGCATTATAATTTTTTGTATTCTCTGTATTAGTTACCAGGAAAACATTAGTTCAAGCAAAACATATGATAGTGGTCTTTTAGGAACTGACTTATTTCACTAATCCTAATGGTCTCTAGTTGCATCCATTCTATTGTGAAAGAATTTCATTTTTTACAGCTGCATAGTATTCCATGATGTATATCTATCATAATTTCTTTTTAAGATTTTTTTATTTGTTTGAAAGGCAGAGAGAGAGAGAGAGAGAGAGAGCTAGTGAATCTTCCATCTGCTTGTTCATTCCCCAATGACTACAACAGCCAGAGTTGGCTGGTCTGAAGCTAGGAACCAAAAGCTTCTTCCAGGTCTCCCATATGGGTGCAGGGGCCCAAGTATTTAGGCCATCCTCTACTCCATTTTCAGGCACATCAGCTGGATCAGAAGTGGTGTAGCTGGGACTCAAACAGGCACCCAAGTGGAATATCAGTGCTGCTGGTGGCGGCTTTATCCACTATACCACAGCACCAGCCCCCGTAATTTCTTTATCCAGTCATCAGTTGATAGACATCTGGGTTGATTCCATATCTTTGCTATTGTGAGCTGAGCTACTATAAACATGGGGGTTTGGGAACATGTGGGAGTCAATGTTGTACCATACTGATTGACATTTCCTAGTCAATTTTAATACCTTAGGATCTCTGGTATTTACTATACAGGATGAAAAGGAGACAAAATTACTGTCTGTGTAGGAACTTAACAGACATGACTTTCCTTAATGTCTATTTTGTATTTCATTTCCATGAATTATTTCTAGTAATTACTCCACTATAGTTGCACTATAAAACTGGTCAGTTTTGAATTAAGTCTTAATAGTCATTTGGTCTGTGAGGGTTTGTTTTTCTTTTTCTTTTTGCCTACCTCTCTCTGCACTTTTCCCCAGGAAAATAATTTTTAATATTTTTGATAGGTGAAGTTTGAGAAATTTTTAATTTTATTTGATACTTTAAGGAGATGGAAGAAAGCAATTTTACATAAGAACATAATTGCTGGCTTCCAGAATATTATGAAGTAGGTTCCTAAGGTAGGTTGAAGATTGTAAAAATAATTTTTATATAGGCTTAAAATTTCTGTAACTTTTTTGGGGGCATTATATAATGGAAAACAAAAGGAAGTTGATATAGCTTACAACCCTGTCACTCAGAAAAAGAAATCACTTGTCACTGTTATTTACATATAAATTTTTTTTCCCGCTCATGTTTTTAAAAATCAGAAATATCAGCCAGCGCCACGGCTCACTTAGCTAATCCTCCACCTGTGGCACCAGCACCCAGGGTTCTAGTCCCGGATGTGGCACTGGATTCTGTCCCGGTTGCTCCTCTTCCAGTCCAGCTCTCTGCTGTGGCCAGGGAGTGCAGTGGAGGATGGCCCAAGTGCTTGGGCACTGCACCTGCATGGGAGACCAGGAGGAAGCACCTGGCTCCTGGCTTCGGATTGGCGCGGTAGGTCGGCCACAGCGCATGGGCCGTAGTGGCCATTTTGGGGGTGAACCAATGGAAAGAAGACCTTTCTCTCTGTCTGTCTTTCTCACTGTCTAACTCTGCCTATCAAAAAAAATCAGAAATATCTTCTATGTCTAATTTTTGGACTCTTTCTTAAACTTAATGCTATATGATAGTCAACTATACATATACACATATATGTATATATAGATATGTACATTTGCATGTATATACATATATACATTTGATTTTATGAAAGTAGGATTTTGTTAATTTAATAAGTTTAAAATAATCATTTCTTTGGTTGCTATGTACAATTAATTTTTTGTACATTTATATCTTTCATATTTTATGAAATTTTCTTTTGTATTAATTATGAAGATTTCCATTTGACTCTCAATATTTTCTTTTTAAAAAATAGCCTTTAAAGGATAGCAATCTATCTTTTATAAATCATTATATCTTCCACAATTTGATATTTTCCCTTAATTATGTTTAAAGTCTGTCTGCTTTTTCCTTTGTGATTATTTTTTAGCTGTGGATTCAACAAATACTTACTGAGTGTGTATAATTCCAGTTATTGAGGGAACAGGGGTAAAACAAAAACCAAGACAGAGATGGCTTTGCCTTCTCAGACCTTACAGTTTAATAAGGGAAACAACCAAGCAAAAACCATCCCATTATAAAATCCCATAAAATAAGCCACGTAAGAAGTGGGAGGGTGTAGTAGGCACTTGATCTGGACTTGCAGTATAAAGGAAGCTTCTAGAAGGAAATAACTGAGAATGAAGACACAAAACAGTATGTGCTAGTGTTCTTGTTCAGTGACTTAATGTGAAATGTCCTCTTTGCATGGAACATTGTGTGTGTGTGTGTGTGTGTGTGTGCGCGCGCAGGAAGGCAGGCAGAAATGACCAAGGCTGGGCAGGAGTCCACAGGTGGGAGGAAGTGATGATGGGCAGTGAGTGTGTTTATATGTTCATTCCTTTTCACTGAGTAAGCCATGTTTCCATGAGTTTAAGTTCTCATTCATGTGATACTACTTATTTCAGAATGATCTATGTAGTTTTATTGCTATGCCAATTATTGGGCCAGAACTACACTGGTTTTAAGCTTTATGAAATATTTAAACTGGTATACGTGCATACTCTCATCTCCTTTAATTTTCTTTTTTTTCTTAAAGATTTTATTTATTTATTTGAGAGGTAGAGTTACAGGAAGTGAGAGAAAGTGACAGAGAGAAAGGTCTTCTATCCATTGGTTCACTCCCCAGATGGCCACAACGGCCAGAGCTGAGCTGATCTGAAGCCAGGAGCCAAGAGCTTCTTCCCAATTTCCCATGCGTGTGCAAGGGCCCAAAAGCTTGGGCCATCTTCTACTGCTTTCCCAGGCCATAACAGAGAGCTGGATTGGAAGAGGAGCAGCCGGGACTAGAACCGGCACCCATATGGGATGCCGGCACTGCAGGCAGAGGATTAACCTACTGTGCCATGATGCTGGCCGCCTCTTTTTATTTTCAAACTGGATTCATCTTCTCTTGCCAATGTGCTTTCTAGGAGCATAGGTGAATTATAAAATTATTTTTGAAAGTTAGAAAAGTATTTTTGTATGTGTATCATATATACATATGTATTTATATATATGTATGTACATACATAAAATTTCCCTTTATAATTTGGCAATGAGTTGAATCTATGGATTAGTGTGGGAGAACTGATATGTTAACATTGAGTCATCCATTAAGAAGCATTGAAAATTTCTGGCCGATGTCCTAAACAGCACTCTGGCCTCAGAATCAGCCCTTAAGGCATGCGGATCTGGCTGAAAAGCCCATGAGAGTATTTCAGGCATGGAAAGCCAAAACACTCTGGCAAAAAAAAAAAAAAAATGACCTAAATGAAAGATCTCCACGAGTGAGATCCCAGTGGAAAGAACAGGTCACCAAAGAAGGAGGTACCTTTCTCTGAAGGGAGGAGAGAACTTCCACTTTGACTATGGCCTTGTCTAAATAAGATTGGAGTTGGTGAACTCAAAAGGCTTCCATAGCCTTGGCAACTCATGACAAGAGCCTAGGGAGATTACTGATGCCATAAACAAGAGTGTCAATTTGTTAAGTCAACAACAGGAGTCACTGTGCACTTACTCCTCATGTAGGATCTCTGTCCTTAATGTGCTGTACATTCTGATTGAATGCTATAACTAGTACTCAAACAGTATTTTTCACTTTGTGTTTCTATGTAGGTGCAAACTGTTGAAATCTTTACTTAATATATGCTAAACTGATTTTCTGTATATAAAGAGAATCGAAAATGAATCTTGATGTGAATGGAAGGGAAGAGGGAGCGGGAAAAGGGAGGGTTGCGGGTGGGAGGGAAGTTATGGGGGGGGGAGCCATTGTAATCCATAAGCTGTACTTTGGAAATTTATATTCATTAAATAAAAGTTAAAAAATAAAAAAAAAAAAAACAAAAAAAGAAAATCTCCACATGCATTTAAATATTCTTTTATTTCTCTTTTTAAATCTTTATAGTTTTATTCATACAGGTTGTACATATTTCTGATCAGTCTTAAGTGAGACATTGTTATGTATTAGGATATTCGTTTATATTTTGTAATTTTAGTTTTTCATTATAAATGAATTTTTTTTGCATATCTGGACCTTCAGACAAATATTAACATAGGTATATTTACTCTCTAGCTGTATATGTAACTAATTATAATTAATTATGAGTTTTAAAGTTATTTATAATAGTTTGTAATCAGTATCTATAAATACAGATACTTTTTCTTCTAATAATTGCATCAATTGTTTTAGTAAACATTCTTAGCCATTGGTTTGACAAAGCTATGGAACAAAGTTTTACACAACTATATTTGCAGAAATGCTGCTACACACAGGCATTTCTTCTTATTTGATATTTTACAGTATTGATCACAACTTATAATATTAAATAACAATGATAATAGTAGGCACTCTGCCTTTATAACAATCACAATTACAAAAGAATGCCACTTGTGCAACATTTCTAAAGTATGTACTGTGGAAGCTAATAAAATAAACTTGGAAAATTGTACAAATTAATTGTTTTCTCCTATGGATTCATAATTCATATTAATACATTCAAAGTCTGCAATAAAGAACCTAGTTTAAGTTTAACCAAGCACTGCTAAAATGTATTTGATGACAGGAAGCATTCTCTCACTTAGAAATTTGCATCACTTATGACAATCAAAATCATATTAATTTGATTTTGCTTCTTCCTGGTTTTTGAAAAGCATTTTTCATACTCCTTTAACTTTTCTTTTTTATCTATATTTGTTATATGCACTGTAGTTTTGCTTTGCTTTTATTTTTCTCTATTAATATAGAAAATAGTCATCTTTTTATTTCTACAAGTGGTTACACTTGAGGCTTCTAAAATATTTTTACTAACAGCTTATACAAAGCAAAGTCAAACATATAGCCATCTACCTTTCCAATCCATTTCAGAATGAAATGTCATCTTTGAAGAACCCCATCAAAGGTAAGAAATTTAATCTATTTTTGTTCCTTCCAACCTTTGTCTCAGTATTTGTAAAAAACAATTTTACATTTTATTTGATTACTATCAGTAAATATTTTATATGACATGATTCTCTTGTAAAATATTTGATCTATTCAACAATATCATCATTATACAATACATTCTTGGGCAGCTCAGTAGTTACCTGCTTTTGTCCTCATTTTTTACTTCTCAGCTTTCATTTATATCTTAGTCAGCTAAAGGATAGCTTCAAGATTATCCCAAGTAGATCAAGGAGGTCATATACTTTTTTAAAATTCTTAATCAGCTTAGAATAAATTTCTATTGACTTTGGACATAATGAATGATTTGTCTGGATATTAAATCCTTGTCTCCCCATCTTTTCTTGTCCCTTTGTATTGAGTCATGTGGAAAAATCTGAGATCCTTCATAGTTCTATTTCTTAGAACCTGCTTATCTTCCAGAATGTTTATATTTGTCTTTATAATTCAAATATGTTGTCATGATTTATCTAGGCGTCAGCTCATTTTACTGATTTTGCACAGTGCATGCTAAAATGTTCTATTTGCAGCCTCAGCTCTTTCATTATCATGTTCACTGGAAATGTTTTCTGTTGTGACTTATTTTAAATTATTTAAAATATTTTCCACTACATTTCTCTGTTCTCTTTTTAAAAATTTGTTATTTTAACTGGAATATCTTTTTGTAGAGGTATAATTTAAATCCAGTGAAGTAGAGAGACCAAACTTGTACAATCTGATCAGCTTTGTCAAATGCATTTATCTGTATAATCTGCATCCCTATCAAGATACAGAAAATTTCCATCAGTCAAGAAAAGTCTTTCACACTCTTTCTCAGGCATACCACCACTAAAAGCAACCACTGATTGGATTTGTTATTCTGAATATTATATAAAAGGAATCATACAATTTATACAATATTATGTATAAAATTCTTAGACATCATTTCACTTCTTTCTCATGTATATTGAGAATTATCCATATAATTGTACCAGCTGTGTGTGTTATTATAGGAATAATTCAGGTTTTTTTTTTTTTGCAATGTTCTACTTTCAGTTTATTTTATACTCATAAGACTAACCCTACTCTAAGTAAAGAGTTCAACAAATAGTATGAAGAAAAAAAATTGTTCCTCAACAGTAGAGACAAGGGCTGTCCACAATCATTAACTATCAATATGTCAGTTTCATTCATATACTTACATAATTCATTTCTTGATTATCCTGTTTGTGATACCTGGGATATTTCCAGCTCGGGGCTATTATAGGCTGCTATTAACATTTTTATAAAATTAATGGTGGATTTTTAAAAAATTTATGTTCAATAATTACCTAATAGAATTTGGAGGCAAAGGGTAGGTATATGCTCAATTGTATAAAAGCTGCCAACAGTTCACTAAGTTGTGGCGTTTTACACTGTTACCAATAATTTATGAGGGTTTCAGTTACTCTGTGTCCTTGGTAAGATTTGGTGTTGTCACTGTTTCCTTTTACCTTTCCTAGAGGGTATCCAGTGCTAGCTCATTGGGATCATGGGCCTCTTTTTCATGAGCACAAATTAGCCCTAATTTCATTCTTTTCAGTATTTTATGTATCTGCCATCTTTTATTACATTGATTCCTTTTTGAGAGTATTATATAGGGCATCTATATTTTGGGGAGTGCCTGATTCAGTTTCCTATAGTGTCAATTTTGCCAGTTACTACCTTCAATAGGCATATTAGAACTATTATTCCATTTTTTTGCTACCCTGCATTCCCTCTTTATCTCAGCTAGCACATTTTTCCTCTCATCCATTTATTTCATAATGGCTATCCTTTTTTCACAGCATTTTCTATACCAGTTGACTATGAGAAATGGTTTTCAAACTTGTCTTGAGATGATGTTTCATTTCCCTTGTTATGCACTCTTTCCATTGTCTGTGCTATTTATTTTTCATGCTTACTCACCCAGGAATGAAAACCAATCCATTTATACCCAGTGTTTGTGAACATTTAGCATGTGCAATGTGTTCTTGAACCTGCTCAATATGTACTAACCTATGTTTTCCAGTCTACAGCTGGAGGGCAGAATGACATGTCCTAGTTCAATATCAGCTTCTCACAGGAATGCTAGTGATGTTGCTTTCTACTCTGATATACAATCTTCTCTTCCTATTCTTTTGCACAAAAAAATAGAGAACACAGAGATTCATCCTCTTTGGGTTTCCCTTCTTTTAGGACACGTCCTTTCCACCTGTCACTAGCCCCACAGTTTTACTTGCTGGGGATGTCTTACAGGATTCAAGGTGCCACTGCCCAGACTGTTAAGATCCAACTTCATTGTTTTCTGACATAGGAAATTTTTATATGGATACAGAACGGACTCTCTGCTAGGATGAAGGTGTTTCTATCCAGTTGAGTGATGGCTGAGCAGTTTTCAGAAAAGCAATGAACTAGCTTTTTGCTTCCTTTGAAGAAGTCAATAGTTTGGTTTTGTTTCCAGTAGCAAATGATATTTTGGTTAATAATTATAATTCTCAATTCAGTGCCATGGATACTGTTAGCCATGATACATCTTCAAAGTTTCTGGCTATTAACTTGGATTTTATTATTGCCTGACATTTTCCTTCTCACTCTTACTTCATTTGTATGAACAACTAATATATTTTGCTGTTTTATAAATATAAAGAAACACATAATGAACTCTAGCAGTCTAGCATTTTGAAGTTCTGTCTCACTAAGGAAACTCACAGGTAACAAATTGTCCTGGAAAGAAGGGTGGTGGGAAGATAATTCATCACAATTTTGTTACTTTCTTCAAAGAGTGCTTAGGTCTATGCCTCCAAAGATGTGCCATGATATTCTCTGAGTAACACTTGAATTGAAGTCAGCTAAACTTTATTGAGGCTACATGATGTGTCAGACACTTTAGTAGGAAGTAAAAATAAAGAAATGTGTAAGACATGGCCTTTTGCCTTGGGTAATTAAAGATCTTCCTTCTGTCTCTAGCATCATCAGATGGGGACTGCTGAATCCAGTCTTTGGAATTGGTGAACAATCTCCTACATTGCATAAACAATCTTTTGACTCTCACTCAAATATGTTTTACTCTCTATCTCAAAATTATGCTTATCAGGAAAGTTTTGACCCTGAAATTTGATTGAATTGTGCCATGAGGGTAATAAGATTGGTGAGGGGAGAGTCTTTGAAGAACAGTACTAAATGGAGTAGGCACAGAAGTTGAGCCTTGGATCATCCTGTAAGTACCTTCTTCTGCTTATGAGAAATCTCAGAGCCCGCCTCCTCAGGAAAGAGACTACCTTCATCCTAAGAGTCAAATTGTAGCTAATCTCATCTTCCCAACTGAGTATGTATCATATACTGTCAGCCCAGGAAACTTTCCAACCAAGGAGTAAGATTACAAAGTTAATATCTGATCTTTTTAGAAAGAAAAGTGTCAAATAATTAGTCTTAAAATACACATTCCTGTGGTGGGCATTTGGCCTAGTGGTTAACAGACCTGTGTCCCTTATTTGAGTGCCTGAGTTCAATACCCACCTTTGACTCCTGACCCCAGCTTTCTGCTAATGCAAAAACTGGGTGACATCAGTGATGTTTGAAGGAGTTAGATTCCTGCCACCCACTTGGATTGTGTTCCTGGCTCCTGGCTTTGGCCTTGGCATAGCTCCAGCCATCTCAAGCATCAAATAAATTTAAAAAATAAGATATATCTTCCCAAAAGTTCCAGAAAAACATGCCATCCAGTAACATTTCTAAGAAATGCACATATCCCTCCCCGTGATGGTCTTCCTTATCACCACCATGAAAAATTAGAGCTGTGTTGTTGTCTTTGTTAATTATCATGACCCTCAAAAAAGAAATCAATCTGGCTTTCTCAATCTTGACTTGCAACATCAAGGATATAAAACAAAGATAAAAGTTCAAGGAGGGTAAGCTCAACTACCTGCCCAAAATATTGAGTAAAGCAATATTGAGCTTGGGTAAAGGCTTAAAATTTTTTCCACTAGGCACAAAGAAGAACTCTTTGTGAATAAGACTAAGTTAGGGGACCAGCACTGTGGCATAGTGGTTAAAGCCACTGCCTGCAGTTCCAGCATCCCATATAGGCACTGCTTCGAGTCCCGGCTGCTCAACTTCCAATCCAGCTCTCTGCTGTGGTCTGGGAGAGCAGTGGAAGATGGCCTAAGTCCTTGGGCCCCTGCACCCATGTGGAAGATGCAGAAGCTCCTGGCTCCTGACTTCAGATCGGTCTGGCTCTGGCTGCTGCTGCCATCTGGGGAGTGAACCAGTGGATGGAAGACTTCTCTTGCACTCTCTGCCTCTGCTTCTCTGTAGCTCTGCCTTTCAAATAAATAAATCTTAACAAAAGAAGAGTAAGTTAGTCATACTAATATTTTGCATGGCTCATATGAATTTCTGTTCTCTTTAATAGATGTTTGACAAGTCAGTCACTAGCAAAGCTATATTAGATTGGTATGGATCACTATAAGATGCATAGTATCAACCTCAGTCACCGTGTTTTCATTTAATAGGTTTCTACTCCCCTCCTTCAGACCACATATGGACAGAATGACTTTGTAGACCAAAGTCTTGACATAACTGGATAATGTCAGCTTCTCTGAGATTTCAGATACAGCATAGTGTTTCCAAACTTATCTTTCTCTGACCATGGTAGGGAACCCAAGAAATCTTGATTCCTTTTTTTCCCATCTAGTGGACCTTGCTAATTACACACTCAACAACATGTCCTGCTGAGCAAGATACCATCTGTGGCCATTATCACCTCTGACATAACCAGATATGGGGTGGTACCTAGAGGATATGCTTATGTCATATTTTACTAAGTTCTATGAATCCAGGATCCATTCAGATCTGTACTCCCTATAGAAAAGGATAGCTCAGCCTTTCAGAAAGGGTTATTCTCAAGCAAGGGAGTATTAAGGCACTGTGTCAACAAGGTGGCCCAGTAACTGATGTTCC